GTACTAGGGTACGTTCCGGTATACCGGACCGTACCCAGGGTACGTTCCGACAGTACCCCGGGGGACATAGACTTTCTCAGCTCCACTATAGCATACTCCACCCTGGCAACAATATCTAAGGGGGGCCATGATTATCCCGCTCGCAGACGATTGGGTTAATTCGTTCTAAACGCATCTCGTGACCCCATACAGCACTCATTTTAATGACGTCATGCACTGTATGTGCTGTTCCCCCGCGTTCACGTTCGTACATGCACGCGTCCAACGGTTTTTTCTTCCACATCATTATTAAAATTCGTGGTAATGGGGTTTAGGTCTGAAATTAAAACGCGTCATTCGTCGGCAGCCGGTTGTGTCGATGGCACGCCCGGCAAGCGCACACACGTCCCCGTATGTAGTCGATACAGCACACACACACGCACGCACACACGCGCGCTCACACACGTCACACACACACACGCGCGCGCACACACACACACGCGCGCGCACACACGTCACACACACACGCGCGCGCATGCACACACGTCCCCGTATGTAGTCGATACATCGTACACACGTCACACACACACGCACGCGCGCGCGCACGCACACACGTCACACACGCACACACGTCACACTGCCCGCGCACGCGAACCCGAGCCTATCACAGATCGGCGGGCGAGGATCGACGGCAGCAGACGCATTACGGATTTCGTCGTTTTACGTAAATGCCGTAGACCTATATATAAATTACATAAGGCCTGTGAATGCATTAGCTGATTGACAGTTAGCCCCTCGTTCATAGACCTGCTCACCACATGACGTGCCAAACGACGATACAGATCGCCGCTCGCCCGGGTGCTGAGCACTTCCGTATCCTGTTCCGCATCACCTTTGTGCCTCAAGACGCCTGTGATCTCGCCAAGAACGATCCTGTAGCTTTTGAATACTTTTATACACAGGTGCGTAGAAAAACATATATACATGTATATATATCAGAAGTAGATAATAGGGAAATCCCTATCATAGGATCCTATTATAGTTGCATATAAGTATTATATATAAGTATATATATTGTATTATAGTAGTATACTTCTTATATATGCATGTATATGTATATATATATTTTATATACATGCATTCAAAAAATAAATCGCTGTCGTTACGTGTCACGTGATTAAAAAACGGGTTCTGCGGTTTAATAAAGCTAAGAAACACCAGGGGGCGCTATGTCGGTAACATCGTAGCTCTCTACCTATGATGACGATTGTAACTTATACATTAGAGGGAAGATGAAACGCCTGATTAAGACTGGTAATACAGCGATTAATATTACAACTAGAAAAATGTTTCCGACAGCAGCACTAAGGTGTCACTAGTTACACCCAAGTTGTTCTTGTGATCCAGTAGAGTCTTACTGAAGACCGCATGCAATCTGCTATGCAACTACATAACCGATAACCACGTGTAAATAATCCCAAATTTGACCCAATAAAATAATAACGAACACCCAGCCGACATCAACGCGTGTGCGTGTCTCTTGTTTCGGTGTGTATCCACGCCAGGTGTCTCTGCTTTCTTCAGTGCTGTAACGACGTCGTGCAGGATCGCTTCAGTGCGGATGTGAAGCCGGATGTGGTGTTGCGCCTGGCGGCGCTGCACATACAGCAACACGCGCTCGGCAACAACTTCACGGGAAAGATCTCCATCAAGCAAGTGGAGTGAGTGCAAGCATCGCTAATAGCAGTCTTCTCTCAGCTTTGATTCAGTCGTCCAGGGCCGTAGGCTGAGCAAATTCTTAGGGGGGCAGTGGCGGATCCAGGATTTCAAGGAGGGGTGAGAAATAGGTGGGGGGTCTGGGGGTCCTCCCACAGAAAATTTTGAAAATGTAAATCGCAGGAGATGGTATTTGAGGCACTTTTGAGTACATGTACACAGCCTTCATTCTGACTACGACAATTCTCTTTTAGTAGAACTTTTTTTTTTTTGCTCCAAAATCTAGGGGGTAGCTGCCCCCCTTGCCCCCCTACAGGCTACGGCCCTGTGACGTCTTTCACCTCGTGCTTTTACGTGCCTTTTTGTCTTTCGTTTTCCGATCTTTTGTGTCTTTTTTACCTTTTGTTGTTTCGCCCTTTTGTCTTTAAGCCTTTTTCGTATTTTCAGCGTTTTGTCTTTCAAAAATCGCCTTTTCGACGTTTTTTTCTTCCTCTTCTACCGATTTGTCTTTTCGACCTTTTGTCTTTCGTCT